TGTTTGTTTCCATTTAAAACAATCGTGTATTTTCCAGTCTTGGCCACCTTAGCACAAAACATGGAGCTCCACATGCTGGTACTAATCCTACAGTCCAAACATGTAGAAAGAGCAGAGCCTGGAAAAATGCATAAAATACTTATTGAATTGAGTCCAGTTAATCTGCCATCTTGTAGCTTGGTACAAGTACCTGGTCCAGTACCTGGCACCCAGTAGGCATTCAAACACCCATTGAGTGAAAAACAGACTATCCTTGCAATTTATTGCCAGCATTTCCCAGGTAACAGGCAATATAACACAGCTGAAGACTTGTCTCACAGTTTCTGTGACTTTTTGGTGGAATTACGATGAAAGCATTACCCAGGCCTTGCACATCTGCCTGGGCATAAATCCTGGGAGTTGCTCAGAATGTCTGGGATCCAGAGGAAGTGGCTGTGCTCCATGGCGCAGCATGAGACTCCAGCCTGGAGTGCTTCGTGTGGTCAGGGAGGCATAGAAATGAGTAAAATCTCCCTACTCAGAGGCCAACAGGCCAAAGAAAATAGGAAAGCAGTAACTAAGGGCCAGACCCTGTAGTCAGTGCGAGCAGGATAAATCCTCTTAAAATCAACCCTCAAGTCTTGCTGAGAGCAGAGGGCAAGTGTGCAAACCAAGGGAAGTAAGCTGACGAAATGTGAGAACCACAGGGCTGATTTCTGGGTGTGGGACTGGAGAAAATGTGCAGACTGATTTGGCAGGCAGTTCAGGAAGCCAGGACAACAGCAAACCAGACAGGAGATGCTGCTTGCAGGTCCGGCTTGTGGCGGAGAGTCGGGAAGTGCAGTGGGTAAGCGTACAGGCTTTGGTACCAACCTGCCTGGGTTGAAATCTTGGCTCTGTTACTTACTGGCTAAGGACATGTGACTTAAGCTCTCTGTATCACAGCCCTCTTTTAGTTCACAGTAGTGCCCGCCCTCTCGCTTCACGTGAAGACTAAATGAGTTTATACATGTAAAGCATTTAGCATTCAAAACCTAGTGGGGTGATTTGTAAGCATAGCTGATACACTAGCCAAACACATTTATGGTTTGTCAGTGTCTGCGATCAGACTTTGTATTTCATTCATTCATCCATCCATTTGTTTGACAGAAATTTCTTGAGTGTCTAATATGTGCCTGGCACTGGTAATACAATGAAGAGCTAAAACAAACAAGTCTCTCTCTTAGTAGACCAGTAAAGGGAAATATTAGAGGGTCAGAGTTAGGTTAGTGGTAAAGGAGAATCAGATAGCCCTGAGATGGTTTCTCAGGAGATTCTCAAGAAAGAATGAATATGACAAATGTAACACGCTAATGGGGGATGTTGATAATGGAGGAGACTGTGCATGAGTAGGGGCAAAGGGTATATGGGAAATCTCAGTACTTTCCACCCAATGTTACAGTGAACCTAAAACTCCTCTGAAAAAGTAAAGTCTATTAAAATCTTTTTGAAAAAGAAAGAAAAAAAAGACTGAATAATAGAAGAGACTTCTCTCTGATTATCCTAAATATTTTTGGTAACTCCACAGGAAACTAAGGATATTTTAATCTTGCCTAAATCATACTTTTGGTTAGATCTTAATTTATATGCTCATGAAGAAAAATGGCAGAAACTTAAACTTAATTGGTTTCAGTTACATTTTATCTCTAAAAGTCACTAGTAGTTGATATTGCCACATGAGGAACTTGTTAGAAAAAGCAGTGTGTAAAGGTAAAAGAGAAGCTCCAGCCTAAGGAATTTTGATTTTGATCCTTTGAGGGTCATGCTGGCTTTTAACAGTTCGCTGCATGTTGGTGTAGACATTCAATCATTCAGTTAGTCTTCCAGAATTTACTGGGCCACATACTATGTGCGCAACTCTGCTTGGATCTGACATTAGAGCAATAAATAAGCCATGATCCCTGCAGTCAACAGGGTTCACAGTTCCAGGCTAGACAAACATGAGAACAAGTGATGCAATGGGATAAGTGCCAAAGGAGACACAGATAATATGGAAGCAAAGAATTCACTCATTCATTTGTTTACTCAATAAATATTTGTTAGTTTTGTACATGTGCAAGGCACCATATGAATAATATAGATAATCTTGCCCTCTTGAAGCCATTGTGTTTCTGCCTAATATGGTTGTAGAGAAGCTTTGAGTTGAGTGTTAAAGAATGAGGAGTATTTATGGAGACCGTGAAGGTGAGAAGGGTGTTCCAGAAGAAGGGACTATCCTGTGCGATGCCTTTATGGAAAGGATTCTGGCCCTTAGCTCTGGTAACCCCATCTTAGCACCAAGCAGATGCACCTTGGGTTCTCACAAAAGAGATATCTGAAGGAAGCCCTTATTATGGGCCATGACTCCATTTTGTTTATAAAGAATGACTGCCCGGACTCCGTTGCCCTCTGTCACCTCATGGACAGTCACAGGCTGACATTTTGGGACATATAACCTCCCTCCTTTTAATCAGGGTCTACAAGGCTTATCAAAAGTATGTCCAGATCTACTTTTAGAGATCCGAGGTCTCTAAGCTTAGCCTTTAATTTCAGTCCTCATCTTCGGTCCTTAAATATGGATTTTTAACATGGTTTTTTCATTCCAAAAAAAGCCTTATAACCAAGTTCAGTTGTCATGGACACACATATTCCTTCTGAGAACCATAAGTGAGCACACGGGCAACTATTAATATACTAACCTACATGTGGTGGGAACATATCATAACTTCAAGGATAATAAATTCTGAAATTCTCTGTTAATACATAATTATATCCTTAGAATTTTTCTTTTTTTTTCTGAGGCATCTTGAGGGGCTGGAATATTTTCTTGCTCTCTTTCTTTGAGTTGTTTTACAGACAATATCAAATGCCACTTGTTTTTCTTTACGTAACTAGAAAATTGAAACAACCAGACTTTCGACTCTCTAATCTTCTCCACCTTTTGCATTCTTTATGAATAAGCAAAGGATGAGTCAGGAAACTCTTATCGGGGGTTATTCCCCAGAATGCTTTCCTGGATGTCCTATTCAGCCTAATCTCCTACATCTTCCGCTTGTAGAGAAGCACTGAGAAACCAAGCTGTTAATGTTGATCCTTGAGTACCGTAAGGTCATGGGAGGCCTCTGAATCACCATCAAGTTAATTATGAGCAGCCTGGATTAGTCATCAGTGTATTTTATTGTGTTCTAATTCTTTAAAAATTCGCGGTTCCCTGTGGGAAAAATGACTCCAATTCTAACAGAAGAGGCAGTTTCTGCTAAATTCCCAGATGCACATTAGGGCACAATGTTTGCAAATGAGGGAGCACCTCCCAGCTAAAAAGTATTCACTCAATTGTTACTCAGTTAGCTAAAATAGTAGGTAATTGGATAATACCCCATAGATGTACCCAGGGTGGTTTTCTGTCTGAACAACTTGATTAGCAATTGAGCGTTAAATGTTGACTAGTCCGTAAAGTTGCGTGCATTTCAAACTCAGATGAGATTGTAGTTTTACTTTTGAGCAATCACTCTCTTCCTTCTTAGTTCCTAAGAGAAGAGTCTGGCCCGAACGGGAGGTCATGAGCTTGGTGGTTGGTGCCCTGCCCTCTCCCTGTGGTACTGGTCTTTGGTGAGCTCAGAAAACACCACCCAGGCCATGTGGGTTGGGGAAGTGTAAGCAGTGGATGGACCAGCCTGGAGGACCACTAACAAGAAAAGACTTGTTTAAAGATGTCAGGTATACCTTGCCCTCAAGAGCTGGTCACAAGCAGCACAGCAGACACCAAAGCTTCAAACCCAGGGACAATCACAGTCAGTGATGTGATTATATGCACAGTGTGGAAAAAACTGTTAGTTGCTCATCAGTCCTGTTTTTTTGCTGACTATTCCCAGAGCAAATGCTACATGAATACCTTTTTTGCTGGAAGTTATAAACCAAGATGTTAAAAGTGATTATTTTCAAGGGCTGGAGTCCTTGCCTGTTGTGTCTTCTCCTTTGTCTACAGTGAATATGTGTTGCATTTAGTAAGGGGGAAAAAGGTTATTTGTTATTTTAAACATTTTAAATCACTTGCATGCCTGCCACTTATCAAATTGGTTATTTTCATTAATTGATATTTCCTTCTAGGCTTTGCGAATTCACACATAATTCCTTTATAAGTATAATGATGTAGAGATGCAGTTCTGCATTCTGCTGTTTCAAAGCATTGTTGCATATGAAAAACAGACACCAGAGACCTTCTGTGATGTGAGCCAGGGTAACCCAGACCCCAGTCTGATGCAACTCCCTCTTGGACTGGTTGGGCCTCAATATAGTACTCTCACCTGTCCAGTGATCTTGTGATAGAAACTGTTGGGATGATGAGGTGTCAAGAGTATGTGTTTCTCTGTTTTCTGCCTGTGAAAATGTATAGTTTGTTAATAGCACTGTAAATTATTTGGAATAAGAAGTCTGCTCAGTGGAAAAGAAACATGAATACGTTTAGATTTTTATGGGGCTGAATCAGCCAAATCAAACACAGACTTTCCTGAAGCTTCCAAGTTTTTAATGGAAACTCACGCTCTTCAGAACTTTGTTGCCTAATTATAATTCATGCCTTTTGCAGATACATTACAGGGTGGACCAAAAGGAAAATGTTAGATGTGTTCACTTGTGACTTCTATTGTGTTACTTGTGGAGTGCCAACTGCATACGTTGAATGGCCTGGTGCGTGCAGACACAGGCCAGTTCCTGGCAGGCTGAACCACTTCAGTAGGAAGGAGGAAGATAGACTTGCAGTCTTACAAATACAGACGACATGCTCAGACACAGAACCAGCCCTCTGTATATGATTGCGCGTAAATCACCGGTATCAGAGTATAACTTGAAAGTCCCATGGTAACCATAACCCAAAGGCGCCCACATCACTGTCTTCATCAGAGAGGTCCTCTTGAAACGCGGAAAAATGGAACTACCCAGATTTCATGTTAAGGAGAACTTTTTCTTTTCTTTCTTCTTCCTTTTTTTTTTTTTTTTTAAAACAGGTCTAACTGGTGTCAAGGGAGAAAAAGGAAATCCAGGCATTGGAACCCAAGGTCCAAGAGGCCCCCCTGGGCCAGCAGGTAAATCTTCCTACCTAATAGGAAAGTGCGAGGTGAAAATCCTAAATCTTTATATTCACTGGATATCACAGTTAAGGACAATGGCCGTATGACCTCCTTGTATCTAACTAGAATGACTGTATTTCTCATTCATTTTCTTGAAAGGCCAATTTGTTAGTAAAAATCCTCCCAATATACAAGCCCTAAAAGTTACAGTATATTCTGGGATCTTATTAGTTGCATGAGTTAGGGTAGGCTAGGCTGTGCTGTTGAAACAAATCAATCCCAAATGCTTAGTGTTTTGATACAACAAAGGTTTATTTCACACTCACACAAAGTTTGATGTGAATCCAGTGGCTCTCCCCATTTTGGAACAAAAGACCTCCCGGAGAAAGATAACAGAGACACATCAGCTCTCAACTTCTTAAATGCAGAATGACATATGTCACTTTCAATCCCACTTCACTGGCTGGAACTAATCACAGAGTCCCAACTAATCTTTGCAAGGGAAGCTTGAAATCTAGAGGAACACATGAATATTTCATGACCACTAATAGCTTTTGCCACCATGGTAGTCTTCCTGAATGAGTTTTGCATAAATTTTGAGTTCTGTGTACATTGCTGTGTGCTTTTAGAATGGTCTTCAGATGTTCAGACACGTTATTAGCATTGTGTAAGTTTTCAATCTTATTGTGTATTTATAATCCCAGTCTTAGCTATGTTGAATCAAATGCTTTACAGATTTTTCTGTCCGACCCAATAATGATTTTGGAAAATGCTTTTTCTAGGAGAGATTCCTAATGTGATAGATTCACTTTGGTGTAAATATTCCTGTTATTAGAGGTTGTATGAGGAACTGATCTAGCATGATGTGTTACATAGAATGGATGGTTGGTGAATATTGCTTGAATGGAACTGAATGTATCGAGAGCCACAACACTTTTCAAAATAAGGTGATACTTGTTCCTAATTTTCATTTCAGTTCTAGTTGAAGAATTTCATGTCTAGTTGAAGAATGACTTTTAAACACTCTTGGGTTCCAGGCCTAAAAGCAAACACACCAACTGAAAAAACCCAGCCTGACACACTTCTTAAATTCACAAAAAGTTTAATCCTCCTCCCATTTTCACTCAATCTAAATTCTCAACTGATATAAGCTAGCCGAAAGAAATTTTTCATTAGTATATTGGGTTTCAGACTTTTCATTTTTATCCGCTGGGATGATTTCTTTCAGATTCAGACTTATTTATTTCAATTACCTGAGGTCATAAACCAGTATAGGTTATGCGATTGAGACTGAGTGTGTTCCTGTGTGTGTGCACACATATGTGTGTGTGTGTGCACACACCTGTACATTGGATTCATAAGAACTGCACTGGGAAACAGAAGCTCCATAAAGAAAACAAGGTTGACAGTGGTATGCTCCTTTCCCTTTAATATCCAAGAGGTGATGGAACAGAATACATTTTGCTTTCCAGTTTCCTGAGCTAATTAAAAGCATTGACCTCCAGGATAATGTGTGATTATAGTATGATCCTCTGTCCAGAGAATCTAGTTTGGGAATAAGAACTCAATGAATAGACCGAGGCAGATGACCCTAATTGTCAAGATATGTAAAGTGGCTTATCATGAGAGTTAGTTTACTTCTTGGTGGTCTCAAAACCCATCCTGTGGTAGTAAAAGACCAACTTGTTTTTATTTGTGGATACTTCTTAGGACCTTCAGGGGAGAGTCGGCCAGGAAGCCCTGGGCCCCCTGGCTCTCCTGGACCAAGGGGCCCTCCAGGTCACCTGGGAGTACCTGGACCACAAGGTCCTTCCGGCCAGCCTGGATACTGCGACCCCTCTTCATGTTCTGCCTACGGGGTGGGAGGTAAGTGCCAGCCTCTTGTGGGCTTTGCTCAGTTTTACTGTGGTTAGCACCATAATGGTGAGTAGACCATATGGTTAGTACCATAATGAAAAGTAGACTGATTATGGGAGGGAAGCAGAGGGTGAACTCCTTACTACCTTAAATTTTCCCGAGGCATCTTCTATAAAGTGCAAATTACTCTAGAGGCTACCCCTTTAAAAACCTTAAGAGGAAATTCAAAATAACAGCACATGTAAGTCTTCCTTGCTTCCAAATGACAATCCACACGGATTTGGCCTCTGACCTCATATTTGGTCATTGAGGGACATGATTGAACATTCTTTTGGTCCTCCAATTCTGTGTTACTGCTGTGGTGTGGCCATGATGTCCTATAAAATTTTACTCTTATTTTGGGGAAACCTCAGACTTAGAACTTCCTCCATAATTAAGAGGGTCCTCTTGATTCTTTTGGGTGATATCCTGTCCACCACATGCATTTTAGGTGATCAAGGATAATTTTAAGAAGAAACAAAAGTGGTTATGCTGTTCTTGCCTCATTACTAACTCCTAGACTGAGATTCTGAAAAGATTATGTTCCCTAAAAACATCTGCCCTCTGCATGCTGGCGGGTTGTGCAACGGAACATCTTCTGACATAGTCACTCTTGGAAGCATCAAGAGAGAGGTTCAGAGACTCCTTTGGGGAAATGAGCTTATTAGTCAAAGAATTCAGATTTTCTGCTTTAGGAGAAATTTAACCTTATTTGCCAGAGGAACTGGTCAACGTTTTGCTGATGTGTTTTTCTCTGTTCATCTCTTCCCTCCCTGTTCTCTCAAATCTCTCTGTCTCTTATTAAGATCTGATCCCTTACAATGACTACCAGCACTGAAGTGGTACTCCTCCACTCTGATTACATTGGCCTGGGCAATTGGCTATGGATACAGAACTGTCCTGTTCACCCCACCACTCAGCCTCTGCCCCTAACAATGGGCACTTTGCTTCCCTGCCTCACCTGCTTCCCTACCTGCCCACTGTCACATCTCTTGCCCTCCTTGCTCCAAACACATACAATGATAGTACTGGAACTTAACCAAATCACATGCGTCAATTGTAATAGAAACCGACTGCTCTGCAACAACCCGGATATATGTATATGATTGTGGACCAAGAATTTATCCCCAACTTCCCTATGTGAAGGCTCAGTAATAGTTACTTAAATGTGCCTTCTCCTCTTTCCTGTCCCCACACAATTGATGGGCATCTTTCTGCCTGACCACCGTCCTCTCCATTCGTCCTGTGATCACCTCCCCCCTGGACTGTCCCCTGGTGATGGACTTCTAACATGAGATGGGTTTTTAAAATTTATTTTTTCTTTCATAATTCTGCTGAATTTTCAGGGCTCCTTTTGTAAATAAAACACATAATATTTAAGCAGTTGCCTGTGATTCTAGTTTCCTAACAATTTCTGTGATGTATCTATCACTTTTTTCTTTTACTAACCATCTGAAACCTCGTGGGGAGGGTGCAAGCGGCGTGGTGGGTAAAGGTTGCTACTGCTTTCCACCCAAGCAGGATATCTCTGTCGTTTCATGACCAAATCCATGTCTCCATGGACCACATAAGGAGAGAATATCAATATATGATGCCTGGGTCCCATCAAGTCCCCACCCCCACTCTTCCTCTCTAGCTCCTCATCCCGATCAGCCGGAATTCACCCCTGTCCAAGACGAGCTGGAAGCCTTGGAACTATGGGGCTCTGGGATCTGACAGCCTCAGGAGAAATTTGAAGATCTACCGCAAAAACTCTTAGGGAAACTTATTCAAGAAGAATGTCATTATGTGGTTTGTATGCTACCTTTGGGGGGTCTGTTTCCTCGACCTAAATCTCCTCCTTGGATATTCTTAACATTGCCGTTATTATTAACAAAAAATTATATTTTTTAAAAATCCCCTTAATCTATGACCCCATAGCATTGATTTCTCTCTGTTATTTTAATGGCATGCCAGATTATTTGTTTTTCCGGAGAAGAGTGCTCAAAGAGAAATTGGCAAAAAATTTGAACTCTGGAATCTTTTCTGTGTTAAATGATCTCAAGACCCAAAATATAACGAGACAGGTATGATTGTATTCGAGGGACCTGAGGTCCTAGCAGAGCAGGAATTTAAAAAGATTCAAAGATTATGCCATTTATCCCTATCCCCTATAGCATTGCTGAAGAGAAAAAGGGACATTATTGGAGAAACTACCTCTTGTTTAATTGATCTGTTCAACTCTGAGATCCCTTCTTAACTACTTTGACCAGAATCCAAGAATATGTGTTAGAATATAACTTTTCTGAATTTGGTGACTTTAAAAATGGATTTAGTTTTTCAGTGGTTTTCAACATGTTAAAAAATGACTTTTCACCGGTTCTGATGCAAAGAGATCCAATCTCGATGAATGATTTATCTAGCAGTATTCCAAGGCTCGCCCTCCTTGTCTACATGGATCACTTTGTACGTGCAGATAAGTTTTTACAAACCTATTTCCATTCTCTTTTGTGAGCAAATAAAAGTTTAAAACAAGATACGTGGATTCTTTTTAGCACATTTCTAAACATCACCTTAAACTTTTGTAGTCTTAGCTGAGTTTTAACCAGAAAAACAACAATTGCCTTCCTTTAGACAGGCATTCAAGCTTTCATTCATTCAGGAGCTCATTCATTCATTCATTCTGAGCGTAGTAGGAAGCCTAAGAGAAGAAGCAGTTGAGGTGGGCCTAAAAGGCTGGTAGAATTTTATCATTCACTTATCACCCCCCAGACAGCAATGGCAGAGAAAATACAAGACTGGTGCTAAATAACTGTTTGCCAGTGGTTGACTGAGGAGCCCATCTATCTTCTGGTATCAAGAAAAGCCTGTAAAACTCTAGAAGGTAGAGAGGAAATGAAGTAGAATCTAATAGACACTAATCTCTAAACTATAATTTGTCTTTTGCTCCCAAAGGAAAAATCTAGATATTTGGGAAAGATTTGGGTTCTGTTATTTTGCTTGTTGAAAATAGGAATGAAAGAGAACCATAAACTTAATGTATGCTCCTTTTCCTGTAGCATCTCCCTCATAACAGCTGGTTTTAAGTAGAGATGGGGTCATTTGTAACCAGAAGTTGGATTCTCCCTCGATCAGGAAGGTCTTCTGACCTTCTTTGGTTCCCCTCACCACGCAGATCTGGTTTAAGACCTTTCCAGCCAAAGGATTCAAACAATAGGCTCTACTTGTGTGCGTTCGGGGATCCAGGCAAAGAGTTTTTTGGTGCCTTTGTGGGAATGAAAGAAGACAGTGAGCAGATAACCCACAGCTGTTCCCTATTAGTTACGGCGTATGATTCCACGTGTAGAAAGCAGGACAGATGAGGAAAGCTTGCAACAAGGTTAGTCAGGATGGCTGACCCAGAATCACCGGAGAAAACTCCTCTTAAGTGACCGGGGTATGTCATTAGTTACTTCATACCTTTATGTCTCAGATTTCTTAGTCTTCTAACAAGTGAGTAGAGAGAAGGATATTCTGTATGTTTTAGTGTTTGGCCCTTGGAAATGCATAATCTAATACCGTGTCACTCAGAAGACTCTCGAAGTTTGTTATAATTGGTGAAGTAGAAACCACTGTGGGTCCTAATCCATTCACATCATTCTTGAGTTGTGCAAATACTCTTGGCTTTGGTTTTACTTGGTGATCTAAATTTGTTTATTAAGCTACAGGAAGGTTTCATTAAGTTCAGAATGTGTCATCACTTGGGCCCAGTACATCAGACTTTTATTGAGTGAAATGTTCAAAATAAAAGGTGTAACAGATTCAGGACTTTTGCGTTTATGATACATTGCCTGGTAATAAAAGCTGATTTTGAATTGCATTTTTCTTGACTTATCTATTTTGGCAGGAATATAGTTGTATCTTAATTTATAGTTTATACTATTTCTGAAAGTAAAAAGCATCATTTCATAAAAAAAGACATTACCCTTCAGAATTTTCATCACTTTTGTTAGAAACTCTCAGTTTCTCTTGGGAATAATCATTTTAGGATAGTGTTTTGTATTGAGAAGGACTGTATGGGACAAATCTCTCTCCCTTTCTTTTCTTCCTCCTCTGCCCTACCCCATCCTTCCATCACTAATCTTGCTGTGTACCAGAAACTGTTTTAGTTCTGAGGATAAAACCGTGAACAAGAGAGATGTGGGCTTGTCCTCATGGAGCTTCCTCTCTAGTGCTGGAGAAAGAAAGGAAATAAATGAACAAAGAAGCAAAATTAATTTCAAATTGTGATGAAGATCGTGAAAGGCACAGGAAAAGTGCTGAGACAGGAGTCTGAAGACGGTGTGCAGGAGCATCTGTGTCAACTGGCTGGATAGAGAAGGCTTCTCTGAGGGGCTGATGTTTAAGTTGAGACATGAAGACGAGAAAAGGCGTGCGAGGAAAATTCAAGCCCAGATCTTGTCAAGTACAAAGGTCATTTATCAGGAAGGTGCTTGTCATGTTCAAGGAACTAAAAGAAGGCCAGTATGGCAGGAGAGTGAAGGGAAGAGTGAACAACAGAAGGATGGAGACCAGAACAAATTAGGCTGTGTGTACCAAGACAGTGATTTAGATTTTATTTTAAACTCCGTGAGAAGCAATTGAGGGGTTGCAGCAGAGGAGTGATATGATCTGGTGTATGCTTTAAGTTAGTGAAGGGAAAATTGCTCTTCCATTGAGCCATGTTGCTGAACTTCTCTTCTGAAGCCGTCACTGAGCAGTTACTCTAGTCCAGGCCTACTCCAAGGCTTTAATGTTGTACCAGTTAGGTAGGGCTAGGCTATGTTGTGACAACAATAATCCCTAATGTCTCAAGCGCTTAACACAATATACATGTATTTCTTGCTCACACAAGAGAGCAGGGCAGTTGTCCTCCACGTCTTCGCTCGATGTTCCACACTGCTTCTCTCTTGGACACTTCCATATCAACGTGTACTTCCGTGATTGTCATGGGAACAGAAGAGAGGATGTGGAGGAATCATCTCCCCCAGCTTCCTTCAGAAGGACTCACATTTCATTGGTGTGAGAATATCCCATGAGACCATTTAACTTCACAGGGGTAGAAAAGTGCAATCTTCCCGTTTGCTAGGAAGCAGAAGAGAACCAGAAGGTTGATGAGAAGGAATAAAAGCTACCATTTATGGTTTAACTCATTTGATCATCACAGCAACCTGAGAGCTATTTCTCTATTATCCTAATTGTCCTCGGGAGGAGACAGAAGCACAGAAAAGTTAAGTTCCTTGCCCAAGGACACAATGCTAGACCTCAAACCTGGTATTTGGCTCAAGGCATCTACTCTTAAACTCTAGGCTAGTCTGCCTCACATATTGGTGATTCTTAAATGTTAATGGCAAAAATGGGTAGAGATAGGCCTTATTAAGTACAGATAAATGGATTCTGAGGAATTCCCCGAAGATTCTCTTTCAGTCGTCTGGGCTGGGAATTCTTTTTTTTTTTTCCACCAAGTGATCAATGGACTGCAGCTTGAGGAACACTATTTTGAGATCATTCTCATTGCACAGTGGAGAATGAGTTGTAGGGGATCATGGTGAATGAGAAAATATTAGTTACACCATTGTAATAGTCTAGTGGCGGAGGATGGAACTAAGCTAGTGGATTGACAGGACTTGTTAATTAACTAGAAGAGGAGATGAGAAGAGGAACATATCCAGGATGACCCAGGTGTCTGGCGTAAGCAACCACATTTATCTTTCTGAGAATTACAGCTTTGGGGCAGGGAGGTGTAAGAGTTCAGTTGAGGAGATAACTGGGTGTAAGGTGTTAAATAGGTGAGTTGGAGCTTGGGAGAGTCATCAGGGCCAGAGGTATAAATTTAGGAGTTGTCCGCATGTAGGTAGTATTTAAAGGCTAGAGGAATGAATGAGATCATCTGGAGAGCCTCCCACTTTCTTTTATCCCTCTTTCACTTTTGTTTCCACAAATTCTCCAACCTGGTTTTCCCTATTTTATTTTGAAATGTGTCTCTCAGCCAACTATTGCCCAAACTACAGCCACAATGAACGAGTTGCAAAAACCTTGATGCGTGCTCTCTCATGTTTCTCTCTGTTTGATGTACTTTTTCTTCCACTTGGAAAACCCTTCTTCTCTGCTCCACCCCCATTTTAAGGACCCACTTATATTCATACTCAACCTTCAGAACTCAGTTTAGGCTCCTCTTCCTGTGTGAAGCTTCCCCTGAACGTCACCACAACCACCTGGACAACCTTGACAACCATGACACTGTTTTCTAGTTAGTTCTTTAACCTCTGTGCCCCCATATTACTTGTGTACCTTCTTTAAGAAGTCTCAGACTGTCCATAGTGTGCTTATCACTTGACAGCTGCTCAATAAATGTTTGCAGAATCATCTCATCATAGCACAGTTCATTTATAATCTGAGTCAGATCACAAACTCTGTCTACAGTGGGCAGAGTCTCCTCTAGACATAAAAGAGAACATTTGGGAGACGGGAATAATGCGTAGGAACGAATGATCAGCTTCTATAAAAGCTTGCAAATTCAGATCTATTAAGTATTTCAGAATTTGAGGAAGAGGTATTTAAATCTTGTCTTCCTTTAAATTTATTCATTCTTGTGTTCTGTATTCGTCCATCTCTCTATGCATGCATCCATCCATCTATTAAACTTTTACTGACTGTCTGTCTTGGGTTCAGCCATGTCCTGGGGTGCTGGAGAAGAAAAGATGAATTCACTGGCATAGGAGCTTCCTAACTTCCTGCTCTAAATTGAAGCTGCTAAGGTAAATTAGGCCAGATTGTGGAAAATCTATCCAGTGCAAAAATGTTCAGATTTCTGCCTGAAGGCAATAGGAAGTCAGTGAGTGTCTTTAAGCAGATAAGTAACCTGATTGGGCTTATTACTTGGAGGCACAATTTTGATACAATGTACAAGAGAGACTGGTGTGGGGAAAAATCAAGGAAGGAAAAGGACATTTAATGGAGATTTCCCACGTATTAGGTTCTGTTCTGGATACTTCATATTAAGATGATTTTCATAAATTAAGGTAAATGTTCCCTTCTTTATGAATGATCAAACATGGAAGGTAAGTAACATGTCCAAGGCTACACGCATACACAGAAGAGGCAAAGAAGGATTCTCACTCTCACTGGTTTCTGCCCATAGCTCAGGAACACTTCCCTATAAGACTGTGCTGCCTTTTGCAATAGTTCAACATGAGGGCCCGGACCACAGCAGTGCAGTGAGGAAAGAGGAGGAGCCAGCTTTGAGAACTGATGAGGAAGTACAATGGGCAGAACCTGATGACTGATGGGTTTTGAGGTTTTTTGCTTTTTCTAGAGTAAATGTGGTATTAGCAGCAGATAGGGAATTAAGAAGGACAAGACTGGGTGGGATGATTTTGGGTGACTAATTTAAGCTATGACAGCTAGGCAGGACTTATTCTCTTTGGGCTTGGCCCCAAGAAGAAGGGCTCTTGAAATGTAAAATGGAGGTTTTCAAGTTATGAACCAAATATTTGGTTTTAAAAAAATCGTGACTTTTCATTCTGATTTGATGTCGCATTGGAAACAATGATATAAAGGGTTCATTTGTGCTAGGCAAGCTCAGAGTTCAGAGAATTCCTTTGCCGCAAAGTCTAGTTATTGCAGACTCTTTAGAATAACTTTATCAGTAACAAAAATTAGCTACATGAATAACGTGCAATAGTTTTACATTATGTATCATACTGAATGATTGGATAAGAAATTTGGCTGACAAGATATGCACATCTCTTATTACATGCAAAAAGCAAGTTGCAGAACAGTAAGTACCACATTTATCTATTATTCTGTTCATCTATCCATAGTGAAAAATTGGGATGAATAAACTCCAGATAATTAACGCTGGTCGCCTCCTAGGTATTGTGGGCAACTTTTGCTTTTAAAAATAAAGTGTTGGGGGCCGGCCCGGTGGCGCAGCGGTTAAGTTCGCACGTTCCGCTTCTCGCCAGCCCGGAGTTCACCAGTTCAGATCCCTGGTGCGGAGATGGCACCGCTTGGCACACCATGCTGTGGTAGGCGTCCTATGTATAAAGTAGAGGAAGATGGGCACGGATGTTAGCTCAGGGCCAGTCTTCCTCAGCAAAAAGAGGAGGATTGGCAGTTGTTAGCTCAGGGCTAATCTTCCTCAAAAAAAGAAAATAAATAAAAAAATTAAAGTGTTAATTTCTCTTATGTTAATTTTTAACATTTCTATGTTTGAAAAACTATTTTGCAACAAGTATGTGCTCTCAGAAGCTTAGTACTTTACAGGAAAATCACAAAAGACTTCATAGTAAAGTTCTATTTTACAAAATCATCTACAGTTATTACCTTTTTAATATATCATCATAATTAATAACATGGAATGAGTGAAGCAAAATGAGTCACTGATGTTTAGAAAGATGGTAGGCAATGATTATTTTAAAAGCAGAATAACAAGGGCAGTAGGCTAAATGCATTCCCAGGACTGGTGGAATGATTCGCCTGTTTTGGTAGCATTTTTAAATGCATAAATGTTAGTAATGATATTTTTCTTTGTATCTTTCTAAGTAATAAAAAACATAGGCTGGCATGAGTAATCATATTTTGCTGTTTGTATGTTTCTAGACTGTCTAATTGCACTTTATCATATTGATTAAAAAATATCCATGACCAATGTAGTGAAATTCAACTTTATTAATCTAACTTAAGTTTCATAATGAAATCCAGAGAAGTAAAAATTTATTGTACTTGAATAAGGTAAATGAAATTCATTTTAGATCATTCACAAAGAATTTTTCATGGTAACAAAGCAAAACTCAGCGAGACAGAAAAGAGAAACATAATTACTGAAGACATTTACCTCCATTTTTCACTGTCCTGTCCCAAATTCATTGAATCTTGATAAAACTGTATTCCTGTTATGCCCTAACATCATACCACAAAATCGTTAACCAGCTCAGCTTTCACTATGAGAAATCCTTATTGTTTGAATGTGTTATCGAATAGATGTATTGAAGAGAATTTGATTATTAGAAAATTCATGTTTTCACTTTACCTGTTCTTTCTCAAGTATATGCTTATATTATGCCCGTGAACTGGCAAGTTTGGAGGCTGAAAGGATTGAACTTCACAAATAAGAGTTCTTTTTACAAACATTCCAGTTATCAGATTTGGACAACACAAGTAGAAGCCTTGTTAAACTCAATCTCCGTTGTCACTGGCTGCCTGCTCATGTTCTTGGAGTGTTGCCAACAGGTTCTATCTCTGATTCCATTCTCAAGGGTGAGCATGTTTTATCAAACCAGGAAAGAGCCACAACTCTAGCAACTGTGAGCAACAGAAAAGCTAGAAAAATGGATAGAATTCAAAAGCCGATTGTGCGGGCAGCAATGACAGCCTACCTACCTTCTACAGCTTTGGAGAAGTTTACTTTTCTTCTCTTGAACTATCTACCAGTCTGTATCTGGAGTGCTTTCTGAAGGAATTGGATCTATACCTGCCTGGCCAAATAGAGCTGTCAAGGATGGGGTGTGATCCAAGCGACTATTAACCCAGTAGCCTGTTTTCCCAGCATCTTGGCCGTGTGGAAATAGACTAACGGTTTCTGCTGTCATACTTGTAGACAGCTGAACAATGACATTTATGGTTACCAGGAAGATTGTGTCTTGGCCAACATTCTAAAACTTCACATTTACTCATTTTTTGATTTTTTTTTGCCGAGCAAAGCAGAAACTGACTGCAGGAAAATCAGGTGTGTTTAGAAGCAATTGCCTGCTTTGTTACTCATTAGGGACTTACATTAGCTTGGAGTAGATGTCGATGCATTCTTTCCTTAACTGATTAAAGTCTGGATTTCTCATCTCCCTAACTCTGGTATTACCAAAGAGACACTCCTGTCCAGTGCACAGATAATTTCATATTGACTGCTGTGTTAGAGACTGGCTTGTTTCAGCCAAACTATATTCTCTTCTTGAGTGTAAATTAGATTCTCATTTTCAGACTTCCTCAGTATGGCTACATGTCGTGTTCTCAACCAATGAAATATGTATGTGACTTCTGAGTCAAGGGAGTTAAGAAGCATGCGTATTTTGTCTACCTGCTTCTTTCTCATTTGCTACCTGAACGCAGAAGACTCCAAGGTCTTACAGGAGGGACATGAGGTGGAAGGTGTTTGGGTACCAGAATGACTCTGTGGAAGGCCAGAGACTGATCACATTTACATTGTATTGTTATATGAATGAGAAATAAACTTTTATTGAGTAACAGCCCAGAAACGTGTGTGTGTATCATATTATTAGCATTACTGTACCAAATATAGCTGCCGTCACTCATGCAACAGACATTTATTATAGACTATGGCTCTACTATCTGCCAGGCACCTTTTTAGAGGTTTCCAAGAGCCAGACACTGTGCTACATGATGGGGATACACAAGAGAAGAGACACATTTTCTGCTCCCAAGAAGCTCAACTCATCAATGGAGAGATAAGCAATTATAACACAATAAGGGAATGGCTATAATGGACATATGTACAGGGAACAGAAATAGCAAGGGAGAAGAAATACTTAAGAATGTCTCGAAAGAACTGAGATGTGTGAGACACGGTGGAAATAGGGAGATAGAGGGTAACCGGAGAGAGTTATAACTGGAGCCGTTAGGGAATTACCAATGTTTAAGAGGGACTGGAATGTAAAGTGCAACATTAGGAGTGGATGGAGATGAGGGTGGAGAGGTGGGATTACAAAAATCTGAGAGTGTCTTACAGGCCTTGCTGAAGCGTGTGGAGTTTAGGCCGGGTGATGGAGAATTACCAAAGTGTTTTGGTTTGGGTGATATGAAGAGAACTCTATGTTAGAAGTATCTCCTAGCTTCAATGTGATGTTGTTCTAGAGCATATGTTAGCTTGCGTTCTTTTGGAAGTAGAACATGGAACAAGATTTTGGTGCATATATTTTGTTTGGGATGTGATTCAAAGAAACAGCAGTGAGAGAGCAGAGCAAATGAGACAGGGAACAAGGAAAAGTCAATATAAAGATGCATAATTAGGGTTGCTGCTGTAGGCAGTGGGGATTCACTTCCTCCTTGACCTCTGAGAATGCTTCTTAATTGTCCCCTAGAGGATGGGAAACTGAAACTTTTCTCCTCTGACTCCTGTCTCCCACTGGTTAAGCCTTGCCCTTCAGGGTGTTAACTTCTCACCTCCAGGGCTGTCTTTGCATGAGAGTACTCTGAGACAGAGAGTAGAAGTTCCTTGAATATGAAATAGGACACTGCCAGCAGAGTTGAGTCTGAACTCTCAGAATGGTCCACTATAACTCTGGCTAAAGTCATAGGCGAGCAGAAGGGATCTGTAACAAGAAGGTGGAAATGTGAGTCCGAGAGACTAATTAGGAGACTTGGAATGCCCAAGTTATCATGAACATTTGACTTATGGGAATGTGTTTATGGAACAACAGCTGGATATCCCTGGTATGTTTTAGGCACTTGGAATTCATTAGCAAGCACGACACACAAAAATCTCTATCTCACTGAGTTTGTATTCTAGTGGGAATGACAAAATAAACAATAAACCTAAGTAAGTAAAAAAGATGGCACTTACAAAGATGTATTATGGGAAAATAAAGGTAAGAGGATTGGGAGAGCTGGGGGTAAGAAGGAGAGGGCTACCGTTTTAAATAAGGTGGTCAGGGTAGCCTTTAACAGTAATGACATTTGAGCAAAAACTGGAAGGAGCTGAGGGAGTAATTACTGCCCAGGAGGCTATATCTGGATGCACAGACCCTGTGAAAGGAAGGCACTTGGGGTGTTCCAGGAAAGCAAGGAGCTAGCATGGCCAAGCAGAAGGCGAACTGTAGGAGATGAGCTTAGAGAGGTGACTGGGGGCCAGAAAATGTATTAGCCTGTGGATCATTGTATAAATGTTGGCTTTTACTCAGATAAATGAAAAGTGCGGAGGTCATTTGAGACGTTCAAGAAAGCAATTTTGGTGGACTGGTGAGGGCAAAAGCTTGAGAGAATTGAAAAGAAAAAGGGAAGCTGAAAATGGAGATGGCAAATATATCCTACTCTTTGGGTGACTCTTGCTGAAAAGGGACCAAGAAATAGGGAGGTGGCTGATGAGAGAAATGGGGTGAAGAAAAAAAATTTTTCTTACTCCCTTAGGAGGTCTCCATAGGTTTGTTTCCTTTTCTTCTTTATTTCACCCTCTTGGGATGAGATGAGTGCCCAAAGGATTGGTTAAAGGATGAAAGTGGGTCCACCTGGAGTCATCCTTGAGTCCTCTCTTTCTTTCCCACTCTATCAATCTGTCAAAAATCCTACTGGCTCTACCTTAAAAACATAGAATACAATCTCTTCTCTCCATTGCATTTTGGGTAAAGTATATATAAAAAATATCCACTCCACCCTGCCCCTCCATCACCTCCATGGGAGCAGAATACCTCCCAAGCCCTTGACTTGACCTTACATTGGCCTACATGGGATGTTAGTGCGCATATCGCAGGCAGAGGTTTGCAATCTCCTTGCATAGTTAGGCTTGCTCTCTTGTGTTTCTGCCTTTCACCATGAGAACATACCTCAGGTAACCACTGGACAAGGACTGCCAGAGACGTGTGGAACAGACCTGGACCCATAACAAAACACACCTTTATCGTTCTCACCACTTCGGAAATTCCAAGGCTTATGGGAACTCTGAGGCAGAAACAGGGACAAAGACCAAATATACATATATTTCTTCTTATAAATCACAATAGCACACCATGATAGCAGGCCACTTTTATTCACGTATGTATCTCAAGCACCTAGAATTGTTCCTGGAACATAAATATTGGTTGAATGACTGAATGAGAGATAGCAGCTGACCCCTAGTTAATATAGATTGGAGAGTTGGGTGATTAATCACTGCTTCCAAAGCTTAGACTTCTAGATCCAATTTTCTGAAGAATACACATATTCATATTTCTCCATAATTTACTGGCTCTGCATATACATGGTGCTGGTAACAGTGCATAAAAATAAAATAACTGGGCAATACTTTTCTATCGAGTTATAAAAATATTTTATTTGGACTTTGTGAATTTGCCAAAAAGTAAAAGACACATGCTTTATACTCAGAATTTCCTCTAAATATTAAAACAGTTCTTGGTTTTGTGATTGCTAAAGAAGATGCCAGATGGTATCATAATTTCAAAGTGTTGATTCTAAACAATTTAATGCAGGTTGACAAGTTGGAGCTCCATATCATCAACCTATAAAGCACAGGTGTCCACTAGAAAGGGAGCGGTCTTCTAGCTGCCGCTGTTTCCAAGGTTTTAATAGGTATTAACTTTGGAATTGAAAAGTAAGGGCAGTAAGAGCGAAGTTAAGCCTTGAAATAAAGATTTGTTTGAAATCAAAGAGGTTTTCGTGGACCAAGTGGCACTGATACAAATGTGTGTCTCCTTCAGAGGTCCTGTTTATGCCATCTTCATGTGGAAAATGTGTCCTCAACCTTCCTGGCAGCCAGCCTAATAAAAATTGGCCCTCAGGTGGAGTGACCGTCTGTTTTACGGGTAGCCAATCTCAGATTTACATTCTTCTAAGGCAAAGCCCCGAGCAGTAGTGATGCTGCAAAACTACTCAACTCTCTTATTTTAGATTTTTGGGCAGAGAGAGAGAAGTACCGTTTCTCTGCAAGAGCCTTATTTAAGTTGAAATGGAGCCTTAACGTCTGTTTTGGAAAGATCGTACCTTCTTAAATAGGGTCCTTTCCAATTCAAACTCAGCATTGTAGAGCTTGGCAGCAGCGTCCCTCCTGGGGCTTCTAGGCTTTGCAGCCTCAGGACTTGCTACCTGTTCCATGCAGGAATTTTCAGCCAGGAGAGACCCGGACATTTAGTGTTGTTCTTGGCTGAATGTGGAACTAACCCCCTTTTCCAGGAGAAGGTAGGAAAACAAGTTTGTCAACTGCAGCATAGAAACAAGATGGGGCACGGGCACAGTGACAGTGTCTAGATCTGGCTTGGAGGGAATTAGCAATAAAGGAGAGGAAGGAACTACAGTAAGAATCTGATAACTGCAACTTACATGCTTTTAAAAAAAAATTCCTTCATCTAGGTTAAACCTTAAAAGTAAAACAAAATTCTGCTCTTTAATCACTTGTAAAGATGGCAGTATTGATTCATTACCACAACCCTAGCCTCTGGGCCAACGTGTGACTCAGTTTGTCTAAACCAAGAGATATTATTTATCAATCTCACCAATCATAGTTCTTAGTATTCACTTTATAAATTTAGAGTAGGAATTAGGATAAGAAAGGAAAGGATGGCAGCCTGGGCAAAGAATCGTGGTAAAGACCTGCTTTAGAATTATCTTGGCCCGCCTGCTAGGTCCTGATTGAACGCTGGAGATAACCCATGCCTGGAGATGAGGACATGCTTGGCAACAGTATCACATTGACCACTCAGGAGGCCTCACAGCGAGCTGCTCCCTACTGCCACCTAGGCTTGATAAGGGGATGGCACCAGAATTTTTGGTACAATAAATCTCAGGTGGCCACTTCTACTGGGGTTGTGGGAGTGTGACCTCTTAGGACCCTGGAAGAAGAGTCATCTGGCAGGAGGATGTGCTAAACCAGCAACTACAGTGAGGACAGCCGTCCGTCCTATAAAGTGGCAGATGCCTTCCAGCAATCCCCAGGGGATGGAATTTTGTACTCCGAAAGTAACGGGGCTTAGGAGAAAAATGGAGTTGGGGCAGAACACTCAAAACTTGCACAGTCTTGTAAGTGATACAAGAAAACTACCATAATTTTAAACATCCCAATAAAGACATTATAGTAAACATAGAATGTTATTTTGACAAGATATGAAGTTTGCTTGGTGGAGATGTTTATAGTGAAGGGTTGTGGTTTTGAACTCTGGAGAATAGGTGAAAGGATTATAGTTTTCGATAAAATGGGACACCAGAGGCAGATGGCCGCTTATTGTGCTGTTTGTGTTCCTCTGAACTGGCTTGAAACAGAAATCCCACTTTTCTTGTTTTGTTAATTGCCCCCTCTCATAAAGAGGCTGTTTGTAATGGCCCCAAATGAGATCAGACGACGCGAAGTGCTCTCATGCCTCATGAGGTTTGCAGTTAGCTTCAGGCCCACTGCAAATAAGCACTTTTCAGCCTTCAGTTCCCTAGAAAGCAGGTGATTATTGGGAAGTTAATATTAAGCTCTGTTTCTCTTGTTTTCAGCGTTGTCTCCTATGTTGACCAATGTGATTACTTTGGCCGACTGGCTATTGCAGTGTCACATTTTCTCTTGTTTCGAAACTTCGCAATACTGAAGGCTTTTCCTTTTTCCTACTTATAATCAGGACACTTACTCATGTTTTACTGAGAAAGTCCACAAAGTTGGAATACAGTAGGCAATGCATTGGGTAAAATGGGGTAAGAGAGAGAAGGTGTTTTGTATATTCTTCCATCGGTCATTATGCTCAGCTGGATGGTGTTTTTCACATTTACCTGGTGTTACCTGTTAAAAGATAAATTGAGGCATATTAAAAATTTTAAGAGTTTGAGCAAAAATCGATTCAAATTGGGCAGGATCCAATCTACCAGATAAAAAGGAGCTTCAAGGAGCTGTACGAAATGAAAGACTTATAGGCAGAAGGGAGCAGGAACAAGGAAGCTATGCTAGGTAAAACAAAGAAAGGCTAGTTATTGCAGTTACTTTCCTTTAGGGGAAAGCAGGTAATTTATTAGGTAGCTAGGTAATGTATCAGGCAGATTACCTAACTAGTGCTGATCTGGCGATTCCTATTTGACTGGTTGAAGATTCCATTTCTGGGAGAGTTGAAGCCACAGTTAAGTCTTGGTTTGGTGACATGGGACATACCCAATAGTGTAACACAGTCACCTGGTGAAAAATTGCATATGAACAAACAGGATTTTGGTTTTGGTGACTTGATTTATTATTTATCTGCACTAATGTGCACCTTACAGACACAGCAACAGAAGATATTTATTAATCTTTGTCTTCCCATACGATTATTGGAATGATTACAACTCTTTTTCTGTAAGAACTCTTATTTTTTTAAAGTTCTGCTACTTCTATTCATTTTACTTCAGTAGGAGCTGGGATTCTAGCGGTCCAGCTTGTCTTCCTCCTTCAGATTACTGAGTCCCATACAGAGAGCTGTGATTTTTATTTGGCTACTTGTGGTTGTGTTCTTTCAGGATATGGACGGGTCAGGCTGTTACACTCTCAAGCAACAGCAAATGGGTGGGCGGTGCTTCTGAAGGCTGCTTGGCTGGTGCAAAAGCCCCTCTGCTCTGGTTCTGTCTGAATGCAAAATAGAGTGAGCTCCCAGCTGTGAAGAGCACTTCAGTCCCCCAGAATAGCCCCACTGTAGGTCTACACAGCCCATTAAATCTGCAGGATCAGACTGCCCTTCTCCCACCAACCGGGCTCTCACACAGCGAGTCAGAGTGAGGCGGATGGTGATTGGTCTTAACAAATATTTAATATGATGACGACTGGGTTCAACATTCTCATAGAGCATGTTACTCTGATCTCACCTCTTCAAATCCCGCAGTTTTGTTGGTGAAAAGAGCTTTCTTCAGTGAGCCTTTCATCAACAAACAAACGTTGGTTCTAGGTGCTTAGGGTACAGCAGACAAAAATTCCTCCCTCTTAAAGCTGCTGGCTCAGGAGCTCCGGGCTTATTTCATGTTGTCTCACACCTAAGATTATCACATCACAAGTAAGGGGTGGAGCTTCTTTTTGGTCCACGAGTTGAAGATGTTACTGCCACTTCGTTGTGAATGGTAGCTGTTCATCTCTATCAGGTTATGAGCCAACTACCTGGACTCAGATCCTGATTTTACCACTCAGAAGTTCTGTGATCTTGGCCAACTTACTTATTGTTGCCTCAGTGTGCCCAGTTTTCTTTCTTCTTTTTTCACTGAGGAAGATTCACCCTGAGCTAACGTCTGTGCCAATCTTCCTCTGTTTTTTATGTGAGTTGCTGCCATAGCATGGCCACTGATGAGTGCTGTAGGGCTGCACCCAGGATCTGAACCTGGGCTGCCGAAGCAGAGCGTGCTGAACTTAACCACTAGGCCATGCGGCTGGTCCCTCAGTGTGCCCATTTTTCAATGAGGAGGATAACATTATGTACATTTTAGGGTTTATGTATGAATTAAATGAATTAATCTATATAAAGCTGTTGTGTTTGGCACATTAGCAGGTGCTTCCTAGCAATGCTTTCTATTTAATGCTAGTTACTTTTTTCCCTTAAACACACTTACATCCTGGGTCACACATTGTTACATCAGCGCCTCTGACACCCAGGTACACTTATTTACAAGTCTCTCTCAGCTCCCTTCTAGCCTGCAATAGACTGTATGTTTTTTGGTGGGGTCTGTGTTGGGGGAAGACATGTGTGATTTGTTCCCCCGATGCCTGGCACTGTGCCTGGCAGAGAGCAGGCACTCAATACATGTTTGCTGTATGAATGGCAAAAGTGGTTGCAAACTCACTCCTAGGCTGGCTAGGGCAAGAAAAAAAAAACAAACTCCCATAAAAATGTCCAAATACAGTAGCTCAGTATCTTAATCTCTAGAGTAGAGATTTTGCTAGGGATATTATTCCAGCAGGCCAATCTAAGTGGCCAGCACAGAATTAATAGAAGCCAATAAGAGAGATATGGAGAGACAGAGTAGAGGTCTGCAAACAGCATCACAGGCAGGGCAGTGAGATTGCTAAGGTAGTAGATAGGCATTATTTTGTTATTTTTGTGTCATGGAAACCAAAGAGGCTATATGGAAAAAGACGGCAGCAGTAGGTAAATACCTCACGCCAAACCTTACCCTACTCGGCTGGAGGGATGAACTCAGATGAATGGCAGGTTAGATAAAATAGACACTGAAAGGAAAAGTGAAGGTGGGGCTTGTTTTCCCAGGTGGCAAGAAGAGTGATCCAGAACTTGAGGAAATCTGCACGAACTGGCCCTTGTTGGCAACTCTCACTGCAATGCTACCTAGGGTTTGTTTTTTCATTAAATGCAAAATTGAATAGTTAACCAAGTCAGCAATTTTATTCTTATCATCATTTATAATACTCAAATCAGATTATACAATAAAATAATTCTATAAAATAATGTATTTTATTGCAATTTCCTATGGGAGGAATATCCTTTCCTGACCTTTCTCCACAAATGGTCAGCACTCATAACAACTTCCTGGTCAATATGTAACACTTGGTTCATTCTGCCCTGGAGGTTAGGAGAAATTCACCAGGAAAAAGTTTCAATCACCTCACTGTTATTTTCTGCAACTTTCATTCTTCTATAGCCGATAATCTTCAGGTCTGAAAGACAAAAATCAACATTTATTTCTTCATGAATCATTATTTCATTTTTTCCTGTCTGATGAAGGAAGATTATTTTTCCAATTTAATATGAAAGCAACTGTTTATTGAGAAATATCTACAAACACTATATCTAAAATTTTGGTTAAAACCACTAAAGCCAAATCATTACAAAGCAGAATGGCTCAGTGACAATTCCCAAGTTCTTTTGAGAGACTAAATATAGGCCATCTTGTACCTATGTGTGAATGTATTTAGTAACTTAAAAAATTTGAATCCAATTTCTATTTTAGAGCATTTTTTCCTAAAGTCCTTTTCAAAGAAAGGATTACTGTGATCTGTAAAATCGATGAGATGGATTTACCTAATAAAGGCAAATTTTGAATGAGTAATTTCTCTATTTTATCATATGCTAAATTTAATTTTCATTATGATATACATACAAAATAAATGTATAAACATCAGCTTGTTGATATTTTAATTATATACATATTACTGGTCTTTTCCTCATTTATATATTTATAGGATTAATCAGACCTGAAAGTTGCTTCCAGTAGTAAATTAAAACAAAGAACATTTTCAGGGAAATGTCAAATCATAACAAGGGAGAAAAAGAAGAATAGGAAATTACAAAATGCAAACAATTTTAAAGTGTCCTGTCATCTTCTACATGGTCTATTTGTAGGCGTGGAGCTCAAATGGAATTTTCAGAAGGAAGTTAGTAATAAGTAGCTAAATAGTTTTTTTTGAAATAGTTATAAAAATATTCAATAGTTTGAGTTCCTATAAAAAAAAAAAAAACTCTGCCCTGAAACAATTCATCTAGTCCCCTTCTACATTTACATCTTGTTTTCTTAGACAAAATGCTCACAAGATATCAGATAGCCCAGCTATGAAGGCCAGCAGTCTAGCGGCTGAGTAAATGAGCTACAGTACAATTTAAAGTTGTTATTTAACTCTGAGGAACAGAGGCGCTCATCTGGGAAAACAGCCAAATATGCTTCACCATATCAGCCATCCTATAAAAACAAGAAGAGAAACTGCAGAATTTTGTCACTGTTTTCGAAATCTCTTTCCAAATGTAAAAACTGCATCCAAAGTCTGGGAGATGAAAGTTTGATGTGATAACTAAAAGCAGCTCCAAAGTGTATTCTTTTAATCTCTGGTATGTGAGAATACAACCAAAGCAGTTCCCCGGCAAGAGACACTAGTACGTTTTAAGAAACAATTTACTCTCCTGTCCAGCTGGTTCATATAATTCCAAAATGGTGGTGGCGATGCCACTGGAAAGAAATCTTCTAAGCCAAAGTCCTAACAAGAAATCTCGGCAAGTCCACTCAATAAATTAAATGTGCTTAGTCACCGTCCACTTGTTTCCACACCAAAGGTTACAAGGAGATGAGAAAAGCACCCTTTAATGGAATTTAGAAATAAAATTGGAAATATGTATGAAGCATGTAATCTGTCATGTAAGCAGAGGCCTGAAGGCCATGCAGGACTAACAGAGCCCAAATTTGTTTGAAGACTTTTCGCAGGAGCTGAGGAGGATGGAGATGAGGGCTCAGTTAGGGCCGTAGCAATGATGAGGGAGAAGAAGGGTCAGGTTCAGGATTTAGGAAGCAGAAAGGGAACATGTTTGGTGGGGAGAGGGGAGGAAGAGAGAAAGAGGGAAGGGCCAGGGAGATGACGGAGCAAGGAGCTACTGGAAAATGACAATCCAAGGACTTGAAGAACTCAGTGTAGGACAGTGCTATTTAATTTTTCAGGATAGGGAATAGAGGCAGAAGAACAGATTCTGAAGGAAAGAATCTTGGTTTTGAATATGATAAAATCTGGACATGGCAGGCAGCTAGTAATTAGGATTTGGAGTTTAGGAGAAATGAGGCAAAGGTGGTCTCTAACATAGATTCTTTCTTTTCCATCCCATTTCCACATATCAAGTGGCCCTGCTTAAAAATCTTCAATAGCCCTCCACTGCTTTGTCAAAATTCAAACACCTTGGAATTCAATATATAACCCTCCATAACATGGCCCCAGCTAACCTTTCTGAGTCATTCTTTCTACACCCTATCCCTCTACATTCTAGCCCCACCACACTACTTGCTATGGCCCAGATAAAAACTTGCACACCTCTGGACTTGGGGACCTGAGATTTTCTTTGCTTGGAATATCTCTGTTCTTTGCCCAAGGGACTTGATTCATCCTTCCAAATTCACCTCAAAAATCACATCCCTGGGGAGCCCTCCACAACTCTTTCTTTCTAACGTAGACAGGGCTCCTTTCTCTAAGATTGCCAGAGAACTTCATGCATACTCCTATTACAGTGTTTCTGAAATTATGCTTGCCCTTACTTATGTAAATGGATTGTTACTTATGTAATAACATGTGCTGAGTGCCTATTAGATAGCACAAAGTATACTAACTACTTCACATGCATTATCTCATTTTATGCTTATTTGTAAGAAAGACACCCTATCAACTCCATTTTACAGTTGACAAAACTGAGGCTCAGAGGAGCTGAGTAACTTGTCTAAGGATACACAGCTAGGAAATTGATAGTAGGGATCTAGGGCGGACTTCTGACTGCAGTGCTTGCAAGCACCCTTTTACTCTACATGACTCCTATTAGGCTGTCAGTTCCTTTGAAGGCAGGGTCCCAATATAATTGATTTCATGCTTCCAGTAATTAGCACTGTGCCCAGCATGTAGTGGATGCTTGTAAGATATCTGTCATTAGAGTACAGTGACTGCCTTGAAAATGACACACTGTTTGCAAACTCATCCCTTCCTTTTGCTATTGACAAGTAATCAGGATCTTTTGCAGATGGTTAATTAGCTTCCAAAGGGAGAAAACAGTACCCTGGCCAACGGCCTAGATACTTTAGATGTTGGCATAGCTAGAAACATCAAATCATACTGGAGACAATTAACCATATTACAGGGCTTCGGAGATACCCTTAAGGGGAAAAGTAAGTTTTTTACACTAAATGTGGTGATATTTCTCTCTCCACATACAAACCAAAGCTGGCACACATACACACATTTGTATTCTTACTTCCTTCTACTAAAAGAACGAAATCCAAGTTAACATAAGAAAGAGGAGGGGAGGACTATTTACCTGAGTGCTTCTCAAACTTCTGTGGGCATACAAATTACCTGGGCTCTTGGGAAAACACAGATTCTGATTCAGTTGGTCTGTGGAGGGGCTCATGATTCTGCATTTCTAACAAGCTCCTGTGTGAAGCAGTGCTGGTCTATGGACCACACGATGACTAGCAAGGGTTCACCTCAGACCTCAGACAGAGTGACTGAGAAGACAGGAGATGACTATTTGAAGATGTTGAAGAAGCCAGAGGCATCTTCAGTAAGAAATTTCTAAAACTACGCTGTGCCTAACAGAAGGTAACATACTTCCTCCTTAGCTAGAAATGATTCCATTTGATCTGCAATATCCTTCCTGGCTCTTTACCCACCAGAGGACTTTATTAACATGCAGTTTTATGCTTTTCTGATAGAATAATAACTAATTTTTAATTAAGATAATGTGTACTGGATACTGATATTCTTTTGGTATCTATTATCAAAGAAAGATTAAGTTGTAGTTCATGTAGCTTTAGCAAGTGAGTAAATGTCACTGTATTTAGGTTCTTTAAAAGTTGCTAATCCACATATGGCAACACTATATTAATCAGAATTGAATTGTCGGATTATGTTGCTTACATATCTATCCTATCCTATATTTAGATCTACCTAATCTCCTTACTAGATTAAAGAATTTTTAAAAGCAAGAAACCTGGCTTCTAGCATATTTTTTATACTACGGATGCTTAATGTTGTTTGAAACCTTAATGACTTTAATGAAACGGCTTAATCTTTTGTCAGAGGAATAATGGGTGAATTTATAGTCTATATTTGCCTTAGTTTTTCACTTTTCATTGCAAATAATCATGAAGTTTTAAAATACAAGATAACATCATATAAAGTTAATATATTTCTAAATAATAACAGCATTCTAGAATAATCTCAGGAAACTTCTGAAGAGACATTTCAAATGCTGTTACAGAAAGCTAATATCTATTTTTTTTTTTCAATAAAGATTGGCCCTGAGCTAACATCTGTTGCTAATCTTCTTTTTTTTTCTTCTCCAAAGCCCCCCAGGACACAGCTGTACATCCTAGGTGTAGGTCCTTCTAGTTCTGCCATGTGGGATGCTGCCCCAGCATAGCTTGATGCGTGGTGTGTAGGTCTGTGCCCAGGATTCGAACCAGCAAACCCTGGGCTGCTGAAGAGGAGCATGTGAACTTACCCACTTGGCCACAGGGCTGGCCCTGAAAGCTAGTATCTATTAATTTTTGTGTTTTTTCCATAGAAATTTACTCTTTGACAGAAACAGAAATATAGTTATAGTTTAACAAAATTACCATGATCTTTTCTTTATATTTGTAACACAAAGTATCCAAAATTGGATATATCAGAGTTATACTAAACCACAGACTGTTAACAAAAATTTGTATTTTAGCTTTGGTTATTAAGCAAGCTTTAAATAAACAGCAAACACCAAAATATGAATTTATCACACTTCATCAATTAAAAGTCAATTCCTCCTTCAGTGGAATAAAATTTCACTCATCCATTCAACAACGATTATTGAGTGTCAGGTTCAACTGTGGGCACAGGGAACACAGCAGTGAGCAAGATAAAGTCCTGTCTTTAGAGAGTGCATTTTCTAATAGGGGGAGACCACACAGACACACATACATTTTGACCTCTGAAGTGGAAGCTAAAAGTTTTAAGCTTTCATATCTGTGCTCAGGGTATACTTGGGAGATTAATGAATCTTCGAAGAATGAACCAACAGAAGACTTTCTCTAATTCATTTTCTAAATTGTCCTAAACTTTCATACCCACTAATTTAGATATTTTATTTTTCCTTCTTCTCTCCAAAGACCCCCAGTACATAGTTGTATATTTTAGTTGTGGGTCCTTCTAGTTGTGGCATG